TATGCGATAAAAATAGAATAAAATGGAAAATAAAGGAAGCATTGTACATCCTTTTAAAAAAGCAAACAAACAAGGGTTCGGCGAAAATGTTGATTTTTGTTTAGGAAAACTTGGAGAAATTCAGAATTCAGCAATAACATCAGAAGCTAGGTGTCTGTCAATAAAATCATTCATGTCGCCAAAAAAATGCTCTGGGGGATAAATGTAAGTTAAGTGCGCGACTACGATTGAAGGAGTCAAAGATAGGATCAGTTTTAAAAAAATGTTCACCTGGATACATGAATATGAAATAAAATAATTGCCTGGACACTTTACCAGTATCAAGATCTACTTTAAATCCACTTGAGTGTTAGTGGAGGCTGACGGCAGAACCTCATTTGGCCCGTATTAGATAGGTTCGTTGCGATAGGACGGTTGTCCATGAGGCTAGTAATTACTAACTGATTTACATTCGTCTAATGGAGTTGAGTTTGCCCTCATTATTAGTTGGGCCAGGACAAATGTTCTCCTTATCTTAGATTGGATAAATGAATCTATAGATTCCTACATTGACCGTCCCAAAGAAAACCAACTGGGTAAGAAGCCAGTTAAAACATCGAATTTCTGAAGTTTTGGGGATTTAAAAAGTTCAGCAAGTGTATGAATCACTGTTTTTGGAGCAATCCTCATCGGAGCAGTTACACATGCTATACTTTATTTTATGGGCCAGTCTTGTGAATGAATCCGATATTGTACGGGAATCGATGGTCCGATTTAAGTATTATAATCAGCCGTTTAGATATGACAACTTTCAATTGCATTAGGGGATAGCTATCAGAAGTAAAATGAAGTGGTTGGCTGAGTGCAAATTCCATTTGAGATCAGAAAGTCCTGCGAATGGCGTCCCGAACTAGTGGTGGATGTTTCTAAGTGGCATATTTCACTAAATTAATTTGTACAGACCCGCCCTTTGGAGATATTTTAACAATCTAAGTGTGGCTAAATAAATTAGCTGTAAGACGTGGGTTGAGTAATGGGGGTACAACACTAGGACTTGTAGGGAAAAGAGATGCTATAAATATCGAACAGTTGCTTGGTTAAGATGATTGTCTTAACTTATCACTCTTGTACTGAAACTCGGTATTTAGAATGGTGCTTCACTAAAAATGCTCGTGGGGTGGCTAGTAATTTACCCGATCAACGGCCCTTTGCTGGAACTCATCATGGCTATTATGCTGGGTAACAGAGGATAGAGGGCATTCTACCCGATCATGTTACGAAATCAAGGTTAACCGAACACCAGAGGCATTTTGCTTCAACAATTTTCTACGTCCTATTAATTATCAATTCAATATCTTGTGTTAATCACGATACTCATTAATTCACGTATTCACATTTTTAATCGAATTGTGTCTAAGCATATTTAGTGGGTGACATAAGGTAAAGATATTTGTGAATTTATCCTAATCACTATTTGTATCTGTTCTCTTACTTTCTCCTTCCAACTACAGATCTACGGTTCTTCTCATGCCAACCAGCAGTTGTCTGGTTAGTTTAACCGAATGGCCAGCGTTTGTGCTGCCTCTTGATGAAGTTGAATTTGTTATGTTCGAACGCGTTAGTCTATCTATTCGGTCCTTCGACATGGTTTTTGTATTCAAAGACTATAAGCGAAAACCAGCCATGGTCAATTCGATTCCTGCAACTAGTCTTGATCTGGTTAAGGAGTGGTTGGTATCATGCGATCTCTACTATGCAGAAGGTAGTAAATCGCTCAATTGGCCTAAGCTGATGAAAACAATCGTCGACGATCCCGAAGTCTTCTTGGAACAGGACGGTTGGGCTTTTATCTCGCCTGATGATGTAAGTCTCATTTTCTTCCTAATTTCAATATGGCTTACGGCGTCACTTTCCATGTTTTC